CAGAACTTATCAGTAGGACTGCACAAATACTAGGACAGACGTTTATTTTTACATTACTTGGGAAACCCATCCTTTGACATCCTATGTACTGCCCACATCAATCTGGGCATCATGTTTCTAAAACCATGATCATTTTATGATTTTGTTACCTTTATTTTAGAGTATAATCTTCAACTATGGCGTACATAATATATACACTTTTTCCACTTAACCAAATTGTTTTACTAAGGTAATAAATATAAAAACAAAGGCCTCCCAAAATGCTACAAGACAAAATTAGTAATCCCCGTGTTGGAAACAGACAACTACTATTTCATACTGTGAATCTTGATGGTTAATACTGATGAATGGCAGATATATTTCTATATGCCTGCCAACAATATGTACATCTTCTGCTGCCTCCATTGTAATCTTTTTATCTGGGATTCAAATTATAAGGAAGCCATTTACCTCCCCGTTAAGAAAACTCCAAAACATGTAACAGCACGGTTTTACCATTAAACTTTCTCTTAATAAAGTGGCTACAGAACAATATAGTTTGTGACAGTTCAACAAGAAAATCTATAACTGATTTGCATACACAGAGAAGCTTTAATTTTTTTTTTCTCAGAAAAACAGCACTGGATCAAAGCTTGACCAGTATTTTTTCCTGCTGATCTTCTGATCATTTTCGATATGATACATAAAAAATAGAGGCACTACAAAAGGCAGTCAGTAAATAAAAATTAGGATTGGTAATAAAGTATAAAAATAGTATAGTCAACATCAATCATGTACAAATTATTTCAAAAATTATTTTAATCATTTATTCGTTTTATGTCCCACCTTTCCTTCAGGAACTCAAGATGGTATACAAGGCACTCAGTGAACTTCCATGGCTGAGGATAAACTTGAACCTGAGTTTTCCCAATGTCAGTCTAACACTTTAACCACTACACCAAACTGGCTCTAATAAATTAGGAGGAGCATACGGGATTATGAAAATTTAAAATAATCTTCCTGGCTTTAAAGGACACAACTAAGGTTATAGGCTATGAGAAACATTCGTAAACAGAGGAGGTGTACTGACAATAGCCCTGAGAATAATTACTGAAAACGATAAACAGAGCAATCACTGTAGTGAAGTAACTAAACTGGAAAGAAGAAGAAATAGCCAAAGGCTAATGACAGATTTCTAATAAAGTAACAGAGTGATACCTTATCGCCTTTCTTTACAGTTCTTGCTGTTAGTTTACCAACAGCTTTTTTGGCAGCATCTCCAAGACGACGCTTTGAAAAAAGAAACAACAACACAGTGATTAGGTATTACAAAAAATGCACTTCTTACATCTGCTTTGGTGCTTATTCTTAGATTGTACTTTACAGTATTTCAGTTATTCTATCTCTGTCTGTCTGTCTGTCCATCCAGAGAGAGAGAGAGAGAGACTTTATTTATCCAGGATCATTTTATATTGTATCTTTAACTGATTTTAACTGCTTTGAAAACTGCCTAGAGTCATGGGCAGTGACAAATTTGACATACATACATACAACAAAACAATATATAAAATGTAATATATATTTTCATATTCAAATAAATAGATATCCAGTCATGGCAAGACAAGACCCTGCATGGGATGTACCATCAACAGATAGCTGAGGCGGCTGACATTGGGAAATCTTACCAGTGGCTGGATAGGGCTGGACTAAGAGACAGCACTGAGGCACTGATCATAGCAGCACAAGAACAGGTACTAAGCACCAGATCCATAGAAGCAGGGGTTTAGGACCCAAGGTGCAGACTGTGCAGAGAGGCCTTAGAGACAGTCCAAAACATAGTGGCAGGGTGTAAGATGCTGGCAGGAACAGCATACACTGAACGGCACAACCAAGTATCTGGCATTGTGTACAGGAACATCTACACAGTGTATGGGCTAGACCTTCCCAAATCCAGATGGGAGATTCCACAGAAGGTCATGGAGAATAACAGGACTAAGATCCTGTGGGATTTCCAGATTCAGATGGACAGGCAGGTACTGGCCAATCAACCAGACATCATAGTAGTAGACAAGGATTAGAAGACAGCAATGGTGATAGATGTAGTGGTGCCAAGTGACAGCAACATCAGGAAGAAGGACTATGAGAAGCTGGAGAAGTAGCAGGGCCTGAAGGAGGAACTAGAAAGGATGTGGAAAGTAAAGGCCAAAGTGATCTCACTGGTGGTAGGTGCACTCGGGGCTGTGACTCCTAAGCTGGGAAACTGGCTCCAACAGATCACAACATCAGAGCTCTCTGTCCAGAAGAGGGCAGTGCTAGGAACAGCTCAGATACAGTGGTACCTCGGGTTATGAATTTAATCCGTTCTGTGACTCTGGTCACAACCCGATTTGTTTGCAACCCGAAGCAAATTTTCC